TAACCTTCAAAATTGACCTCAAGGTCAAAACCAATGGTACAATTGAACGACCCCCTCTGTCCTGGTCAACTTTTATCTAAACCATTTTTTTGTAGATACCGTAATTTGGAAGATATTCGGATCCATAGACTAAAATGACTCACACTGTATATTAGGTGCGCGACTAAGTTCCCGCTGTTTGTCAATAGATGTCTCCAGCAGTAAGTGCTGGTCGATTTTGACATATCCAAAATGTCATGAATCAAGCTTAGACATATGATAAACAAACCGCTTTGACACGTTAGTGATTTTGTTTTGGCGTCATATACTTTTGATTGTGTGAAAATGTCTGATTTTGTGCCAAATAATCGTCATTTGCGGGAAGTGTTGATTTTCTTATTTCATTCGAAGAAAATGGCGGCTGAAGCGCATCGAGAGCTCCAAAAAGTTTACGGAGATGCTGCTCTAAGTGAAACAACGTGCCGTGATTGGTTTCGTCGCTTCAAAGACGGTGATTTCGATGTTGACGACCGTCCGCGTGAAGGAAGGCCAAAAACCTTCGAAGACGCTGAATTGGAGGCATTGCTCGATGAGGATCCGTGCCAAACGCAAGAACAGCTTGCTTCAGCATTAGGAGTTACCCGCCAAGCCATTTCCAAGCGATTGCATGCGTTGGGAATGATTCAAAAGCAAGGAACTTGGGTTCCTTATGATTTGAAGCAAAGGGACGTTGAGCATCGTTTTCTCGCCTGTGAACAACTGCTCCAGCGGCAAAAAAGGAAGGGTTTTCTTCATCGCATCGTGACGGGTGATGAAAAATGGATTCATTACAGCAACCCAAAGAAAAGAAAGTCATGGGGACTGCCCGGTCATGCTTCTACGTCGTCGGCTCGGCCGAATATTCACGCTGCGAAGGTTATGCTGTGTATTTGGTGGGACCAGGTCGGTGTTATTTATTATGAGCTGTTGAAACCGAACGAAACCATCACTGGGGAACGGTATTGAATTCAATTGATACGATTGAGTACTGCGCGAAAAACGGCCACAATACGAACAGAGGCACGAAAAAGTGATTCTACTGCATGACAACGCTCGGCCTCATGTTGCCAAACCCGTTAAAACCTACTTGGAAACGCTCAAATGGGAAGTCCTACCCCACCCACCATATTCCCCAGATATTGCGCCGTCCGATTATTACTTGTTCCGTTCGATGGCACATGGTCTGGCTGATCAGCAGTTCCGCTCATATGAAGACATAAAAAAATGGCTTGATTCGTGGATAGCCTCACAAGACGAACGCTTTTACTGTAACGGTATTCGAGCTCTGCCAGAAAGATGGGAAAAAGTTGTAGCTAGCCATGGGCAATACTTTGAATGATTCATTTGTAACCATTTTTTCACAATAAAGTTGCATTTTCACAAAAAAAAACAGCGAGAACTTAGTTGCGCACCTAATAATTAAATATAATTACCCAGTAAGCAAAATGAGCGCAAATTGAGCGCAAATTGGCATCAAATTCGATCAAAAATTGATGTCAAAACCATAGCCATCTGCGTCCTCACTAGGCTACGGTTTTGACGTCAAGGCTTGATGTCGGGTAACTTGCAGCAAATTTGCAGCAAAAACCGCGCAGACATTGACGCGCATAACCTGACAGCAAATTGACGTCAAAAACCACGCAAAGCATGCGCACAAGACTTGAACTCAAATTGACATCAAAACCGGTGCAAGTGTTGAGCTAAATCAGCTGATTTAAAGAACGCAATGCGCATAGGGTTTTAAATGATTACTAACTTATATATTGTTATATTAATATAGATTTTTATGTTCGGAAAGGAATCGTAATATGTAAATAAATAAATATTTATCAAAAAGAAAATGTAATTTATTATTTATGTAATTTATTATTTTTATATCGCCCTATTATATGTATGTGTTTATACTTCGTTACAAATGAGTAAATTTAATCGTCGGTCGCGTAGGAAACAGGAGTCGCTGACAACGGGAGGCGGCGGAGGCCGCGCAGGAAACAGGAGTCGCTGGCGACGGGAGGCGGCGGAGGCCGCGCAGGATCCAGGAGTCGCTGGCGACGAGAGGCAGCGAAGGTCGCACAGGAAACAGGAGTCGCTGGCGATTAGAGGCGGCGTAGGCCATCGATTTTATACTGCTAACAGAGGCATCCACGTTTGAAAAATGGTATATACTGAAAAGTACCGATTTTTTTACTAATTTCAACTTCTCGCGCGATGCCAGGACGCAAGGCGCCTTTCTCTTTTTTTTTTTTTTTTTTTTTTTTGTGGGGAAAATGCTTTATGCACACCCGGGGGTGGACATTACCCCGAGGTAGTGTGGGACTCCCCTCTGCTAAGAGTTTACCCACTAAAAACCCCACTGTTTTTTACCTTACCTGTTTTTTACCTTACCTTACCTTAACTATTCTACTTTACTATCTTGAGCATTGTTCCAGACACAGCTAAAGGCGCCTTCCTACCTGCACAGTACATACATGGTATGAATATACAATTGTGCAAAGAAAAGTAAGGTCGTGTTCCAATATTCACTATCAGTAGTAAAAATATATAATAGTATATGCAACATAAACTATAGATATTCAGTATTGACAGTGAAAATTGGAAAGAAGAACAGTGTAAAAGTATCGACAGTAAGTGTATTAATGAAAACTTTCAACTCACACTTATTCTTGTTCGTTATTTTTTTCATCCAATATTTCTTCCTCCGATTCGTCGTTCCATGGGTTTCTCTGTTGGCCTGCATTTCTTCCACGTGGACGCGTCCTTTGCCGAAGCCTTTCCTTCGTTACACGAAGAGCCTCTTGCATATGTTTTTGAAATTCTAATCTCGTCGGTTTATGAAAATGTCTGTTCTTGCACACAGCATCTGGAAAGCAAACACATGAAAAATATTTAAAATAACATACTAATAATTCTTTTAAAATATCAAGAGCAAAAATTTAATACCATATATGGCCTTTGCCAGCCGTGTATTGTAGAAAGGATGTCGTCCTGGCTCGCGGCCGAACCATGTAAAAAATCGTGTGAGCTCGTCAGATAATGCTTCCTTCAAACATAGTTGGAGAGCTTCCTTTAAACTGAAGCCCCCAACATAATGAAGATAATTAACCTGTAAAAATAACAATGCAATACAATGTACAAAGTATATATATATATTTTATGTTGACAATAAAGCTTTTAATGTTACTTACAACTTGGGAATAACTTTCTTCATCCGCATTTTGAAACTCTTCTATTTGCTCCATGGTACAAATCGGTAGTCTACGTGGCTTCTGTGGTTGTGTGTTGTTATCTTGGACGCATCTCCATATCTTTTGTACTATTTTGCTTATTTTTCTGAAAACAAAAATATCCCACTAAACGTGAAACATGGAGAAAACATTTCATATTGCTTCATATAGGCTTTAAATGATATA